GACAATATCCTTACTTTGTCGGACTTTTCCACACTTCCACACCTCTGAGAAGTGTAGAACTAAGTAAAGAATGACAAAGGGTTCATGACTGGGGGAAAGTGAGACAATATCCTTACTTTGTCGGACTTTTCCACACTTCCACACCTCTGGGAAGTGTGGAACTAAGTAAGAAGTGAAGAAACTCTGGATTTCATGGCCAGGGCTGGACATGGCTGCCGAAAAAGGCCCAGACATAACAAAGCCCAAAAATAACAAATTTGTGACCTGTGTTGGTGGGGTGGAGAATTTTCGGGCGTCGTTTCTTTTGCATGAATTATTTTAGGCCAGTGCAGTGCAGGAGTATTAATTTTTTTAAGGCTAATAGAAGCGCATGAATTTTTTTCATAAGGTTTTATCCTTACGCGAATATTTATTTTTAGTATTTGATCCCGTCTTCCCTTTTCTAATGGCCCGTCCCTTAGTAGTGTTAAGCGCTACGCGCTACTCAACTCCCGGATTCAAGAGCAGGCGATTTTGAACCTATGCGGTTTTGCCCATAATTCACCATTATTTTACAGGAAAGATTTAGGGAATGGCTTTTTCCCACCGGGATCCAGCTTTAACTCTTGACTCTAAGGCCCGCGCTTTAACACTACTTCTACTTACTGTTCCCGCTGGAGGATTTAATTTTGAAAAAAAGGAGCCAGTTTACCGTAGCAAAGAGTTTCCTTCTGAAAAAGAGCTCAGGAGAAAGGATACAAACACGGTGGTTCGTAATTTTTAATTTTTTCCTAGTAGATATATGACCGATACAAAGAAAGCACGATAAGGTATAGCCTGCGTAGGTGGCGGTATTGTGTCGGTGCTCGATTAAAGTTTTGGCGGCGAAGCCGTGATCCAAAAAGGGAGTAGGACGAGGCGCTCGAGGCTTCGCCGCTCATGACGGCTCCACCGCCAAATCTCACTCGACTAGTACTCAATACCGCCAGCTATGCAGGCTAGATAAGGTAAGACAAATTAACTGTCTATCATAGAGTGGTTTACGTTTGAGTGTCGTAAAACCAAAACCAAAGTAATTACTCTGGCCAATCACAAAGGACACAGACAATACATTGAACCAATCAAAACTCGAAGTAATTACATGTGGCTGACGCAAAGCGCGGGAAAATGCATGCGAGCGCGTCACAATTGGCTTTGGTTTTACTTCTGATTGGATGAAAAGGTGGCGCGAATCTTTTAAGCCAATCGCATCGTGTAGAAAGTGCAAAACCAATTACTTTTCGACACTCAAATGNAACTAAGTTCAATGTTTTCAGGAATAAAGGTGTTAGTGTTTGAGTTCAATTATATATTTTAGCTATCCGCAATTAGCTTATCTTTTCCGGTACATGCTGCAATTCGTGAGATCTCGAAGTACAGTGATGCTTGTTAAGCGCTTAATTAGAGGGAAATATCCCGGACTATTCATCACATATGCTACATAGTAAGCAATATGGAAAGAAAGAGGAATAAAACCAGAAGCTAAAAACAAATGTGAAACATAACAGAAGATTTACAAATGTAAGCAATTCTTGCCAAGGACAAAAAAATAACTAAGGAGGAATGTGACATATATTGTGCCTTTAGAGTGCTCAGAAAGAGGGAAAAATCACAGCCACCGTCAACCCCCATACCTGGCTGTTCCTGTAATGAGTATTGTGACGCAGAACCCGAAGCAGTCAATATGATTGTAAGAAGGGAGGATTCACACTGACGCATCGCTACCTATGCCAAAATGGATGATCAGGTTTTGTTTACATTTAAAAGAAAAAAAAAAGCGAGAAACTGAAATCAGTGCCAAGGAAAAAATTGCCTGGCTTCCGTGAGTAATGCAATTCTTCTTTTCATTAACGTACGGTGGAATATATTAAAGCCGGTGACGTCTTCACGTTTTTGTCTTTATCTCATGAATAAAATGCGGTGGATTCTCATTAAGATAAGGTCTTGTGCTTTTTAAGTGGTTTAACGGGGCTGACAGGTTTTATAGTTACCTTTAAGTCGGTAATTGTCTTGGTTTTCGATTGGTTGATCAGAAAATACAGTCGAACCTCGCGCAAATCGTGCATATTAATGAGGGCGAAGGCAAATTAAGTCTTTTTTTTACTATAATTTTTATTTTCCCTCCACCACATCGACCCCACATCGGCCCTACATCGACCCCACATCGGCCCTACATCGATCCCACATCGACCCTACATCGACCCAACTTCGACCCAACTTCGACCCAACATTGACCCACATTGACCCCATATCGACCCTACATCGACCCCACACTCGACGTTTATTTTAACACAGTTTCTTGGATAGTAAAGCTGTGCAGAGTATGAAAAGGAGTTGGGTGGAAAACCAGTCTTATGTAGTAACCGCTGCGGGGCCCGGTTGCAGAAAACCTCTACTAAAGTGCTCTTTTAATTTACGTAATGGGTACACTAACCGGTGTTGCATAAAATACACTTAGCTATGGCACTCTCGTCTCTATCCTACGTAAGTACGGGCTAATAACTTAGAAACGTACGAGAGTGGTTCACTTGAGGGGAAACTTAATAAACTTTGTTATTGTAATAGTTATGTAATGGATATTCTTAAATGCCTCTCTCTGTTTTACCAGTAAATTGTCGATAAGTATGAAAAAGATGTATTGTTATGAAATACTATTAACCTTCTAAATGAATTGGAGAAAACGATGATGAAGAAGAGGCCACGAGAGAAAACCACAATAATGTGAATACTACTACTGTACTGCGAACACCGCAATGAAACCAAAGGGGTTTGAAAAAAAAAAAAAAACATGCTCAACTTGTGAGATCGTCCTTTTCTAATCTTTTGAAATTTTTGAAATCCATTGAAACAGCTGACATCTTAAATCAGATAGCAATATAAAACGCTTGAATTTTTACTCTTAGAAAAGTTAGTGATAATGTTAGTAATCGCCAAAATAAATAAAGCAAAAAAACTTCCCTTTCGCCTCGTAGAAAAAATTCTCGTTAACTACAATATAGATACGGGACCAAAAAAGTCCCGTAAATTTACGGGCCAAGGAGGCCCACGGCTTTTTAAAATTATTTCCTCGCGTTGGAAGCCAGCTGAACGTTTTGCAAACAGGCTCAGAAAAGACGAAAACAAATCGGAAAGGCCTGGTTGCTGATCTCAGCCTGATTTCTAAGCTCCCTCAGGAAGTGATCTCAACGTGACACTAATTTCCGGATTCCGCTGTCGTAGCCTGCGAGCAAGCTCTCCTATTTGGGGAAGCGAAGCGACCCTCGCGAGAACGCGCGTTCTCGCGAGACTCGCTTCACTCGCCCAAATAGGGCTTGCTCGCAGGCTACCGCTGTCGTTAATACGTTTGCAGTCCGTTTTAGACGGATCAGTCTGAAGCTGCAAACTAAAAGCGCCCCAGATCGAAAGGTCACGAGAGTATTAATTGTATAATTTTATGGTATAGGTGAGTCAAGGATAGCCTGCGAGTGTTAAATTTGTTTCGCTGTAATACAGGCAACCGTGAACCATGAGGACTTTACTGTTTATGCTGTTTGTTACAACAGTGGAGACTCAAATCTCTACCACAAAAGACACCCCTCATTTGCGGTCGGTTTTACCATGGAAGGCTCCCGAAGACGCCGAAATACAAGGTAAGTCAATGAAAAAAAAACATAAGGTAAGTATAAAATTATATGCCTTTATCTTTATGGCCGGTAGCCGGTCAAGCTTTTCAAAACACTAAATGACCAGCAGTCCGATATTTTTAAAAAAATTGACAATTCAAAGAATCCTAGCCGATCCAAACTGTAACATATATCAATTAAGAAAATTCAATCGATCCTGAAATGCTATACAGATCTGAAGTGTAGCGCTTGATCCACGCTGGGTTCAGAAAACGAAAACCGTGTTCTGTTACATTTAGTTTTTCATCGAATGCTGACCAAAAACACTAATTAAGTGACTAGCCTCCCACGCAGACGTTCTTTTGCATCGTCATGCAAGTAATCCCCTACCTCTCGTCTGCGTGGGAGGCTACTAAGTGACTAGAAGTCCGATATCTTGACCAATTTGAGTATTCAAAGAAACAGTAACTCTGGAATGTTTATGTGCATTCCTTGGGTGAAAATCGTTCAACCTATGTCGTTTGATACCTAAGATTTAATACAGATAGCTCCGAGAATCGAGAACTTGTTGTCTCCTCATCTGTAAAGAGTTAGCGCAAAAATTTTGAGCACGTCAAACAAGTCACCCAACTAATGGTCAATAAAGTGTTACACCGGAAGGTGAAGAATATTATTCTCTCTACCTTAATGAGGGACACCCAACGACGGTTTTCTGTAAAATATCTGTTCGGTCGGAAGCAGATATTGCCTATAATTTTCTATAGCTTGAGGACGACTAAAAATTTCTAAATCATCGTTCCATTCATGTACAATTTTCTACACCTACCTAATAAATTTCCTACGATTTTCTGAAGTTTAATTTTTCACATTTCACTGCCCAGGTTAGGCTACTTTTCTTACAAAAAAGAAACCTAAAATTTGGGGATTGGAAAATGTGATGGAGAGAGGAATCAGAATGATACTGAAAAGAAAACAAGCTGGAAAAGGACAAAAGAAGTGTATAAGCAAGCATGGCCTGAACGGAAAAAATCTTTGAATTAAAAGATTTAACCATATTCAGAACAGGGGTCTTGAGGCCTCTCCCTTGTTAAAAAGTTAAATAACTTCAAAACCGTTCAAGCTTTGACCTCCAGATTTAACGACTTTTCATGAAATTTAACTGGGGACATTTTAAAGTCGTCGTGACGTCTACGTCAACAACCGAATTTTGACAACCATGTTTAATTTTTTTAATTCGCATTTTTTCGCGTTTATTTTTATTTTACTTATTGAATTCCTATATTACACTAAATTTAGCATTATTTTATCAAATTTATTATAACTGCTACTGTTCTCCAGGCTATTTGGTGACTAATTTGGGAAAAGTATGAATTAAAATGACCCGCAAATGACAGTAAGTTCAATTTTCTTTCGGAAGTTCATACTTTACAGTTTCTTTTGCTTCCTAAGCATCCTTTTATACACAGATAAAATTCCCTATCACGATTACCTCGATTTGTATGGGTTTTAAGCAAAATAAAATACATTTATTAAATTAATTCAGAATTGCTAATCCAAAATAGCGGATGGGTTTAGTTCTTTCTTAAATGACGTCATCGTGTCATCACTGCTATTATTAAATTTTAATATTGTACTGTGTTCAGTAGCCAACTCTTGATTTTATCAGACACCTTACTATTAAAGTATTTTTCGCTTTATGGCTACTTTGAAGGGAATTTGGATTCTGTCAGTAAATTCAACAATATGGCGTGAATGACGTCAAATTATGTCATTGTGTTAATCAAGCTACGTTTAAATGTTGGAAATGATAAGTACATTATTTTGTGTAATATTAGTGGCCTTATCATGAACAGTTTTGAATTTATAGAGGGGTAGGGTCTGAAAAGGGTTAAAGAGGAACCTTTTGGGTTCTTTATATAATCAACGTGTTTTGTGCTGGGGAATTCTTCTAAAAATACCTCAAATCGATGAGCAGTGCACCTCAGCTTGCGATAGGATCATCCGCTAATGGTCAGCGGATGCTCCACTTTGACAGCTGTCAACTGACTTGGAAACGTCGGTTTTCACTTTAATAACAAGCAAGGCAACAAGGCTGATACTGCGATCCTAAAACAAATAAGTTTTCAAGGCATCAACATGACACAAAAAACTCTCAAGAACGAGGCATTCACCTGCAAGACAGATTACTCATTTGAACTCATCGGGTGCAGATGGCTGATAGAATTACATAAACTGACTTCAGAATCTCTGTTGAAGGCTATCCCAGCTTGGAAAAAAACAAAATGAACATTCCATATCACGTGTCTTCCACAATTCATCAACAGTGTCATGTTGATGTCTCGGAATAAATGACATGCCATAACATGAAGCAGTCAGTCTGTTTGTCTCACGGTCACGTTACAGCCAAAATTTCTTGGATGGATACACTACCAGATTTTCGTAATTAGCGTAGCTCTACTTTTATACTTAATTGCGTTGCCACTGTATATTCCCAACAGCGCCAGAAGCATTTCTGTTGTATTCAAATCGTAAAGATATCAGGAGAGTCTCCCTGGACACCAATAATGATTCATTGATTCCCTTGGTCGGTGTCAAAGAGGCATATGCTCTAGACTTCAATGTACAGGAGATGCAAATCTACTGGACAGATACATCCCTCAGGTCTATAAACAGAGCTTTCCTCAATGGAAGCCAAATTGAGCACTTGATTGTTGTAGACGTGCCTCACCCTGATGGTTTGGCTGTGGACTGGATAGCCAAAAACCTGTACTGGACAGACTCTAAACACCAGAGAATAGAGGTGGCAAGACTTAATGGACAGCACAGGAAGATGTTGATTTGGAGAGACTTGTGGAAGCCGCGTGAACTTACTGTCAATCCAGTATCGGGGTAGGCGTGCAAAGGACAAATAAAATTTCTCGATGAATCCTTTACAGAGTTTTCTTGCTGAATTTTTTTAAGACACAAATTTGAAACCACACAGTGCGTAGATTTAAAGTTAAATTTCCCAGGCTGTTGTGATAATGAAGGTCAATTCTCAGTCTGCAAGTTTAAAGCTTTGCTCACCCTGATGTTAACTTTCACCAAAAGAAACTAAGAGCCCAAGTTCAATTGAAAGTCGAGGGTGCATTGAAGAATACCCTACGCAACTACTGACTTCATGTCGCAGGAATTGTTTGTTTAATATTTACAAAAAATCATAAGTCTATTTGAATAAAGAATCTAGCATTTTATTCAGTGCCAGCCACCCCTTCAATTTATGATATGAAAATTGGTACTTTTTTAGCAATACTGAAAACATTCCAACGTTTTCTACTGAATTTCTCAAATACCTGCTTTGTTTGTGTAATGGCAGGTTTGATTAAGGTCTTTCTTATTTGTGCAATAGACATATGTACTGGGCAAATGGTGGAAGGGAGCCAACAATAGAAAGAGCAGACTTGGATGGCTCCAACAGACACACCATGATTGGCAATGTCACACGTCCAACTGGCTTGACAATTGACTATTCATTAGGGCTCATTTTCTGGGCTGATATTGAGAACCAGGTTATTGAGTGTGCAAACTTAGATGGAACAAACCGTCGAGTAGTTGCGTCAGGTCTTCCAAAGCCTTTTGCCTTAACACAGTACAAGGATTATATTTATTGGACTGACCATGCGCTTAACTCGATCTATCGTGCCAACAAGACAAATGGATTGGACCAGACAAGAATCAAATCCCACACTGACGACATTACGGATATTCTAGTGTTTCACAGCAGTAGGAGGCAAGAAGGTTTGTGTATAATAATTTTTTCTGTTACTGTTATCCCTACAAGCCCAAACATAATTGTATATTTTCTACACACTGCTGTCTCTATATATTTCCTGTGGTACTGAATTTGTAGGACAACCATGACCATTATTTTAACCTGATGTATGTATGTCGATACGAAAGGTACAAATGTATGTAGGTTTGAAGATAGAGTTTGATTAGTACATGTACATGAAGGCAACTTGATTTAGCAAGGGTCGTCCTCAACCTACTCTGAAGTAACAGTAATCGCGATTAATAAAGTGCACATGAGATTCCAGATATTGCGTGATAATGCATGTTTTGGCAATTGGGAAAATGTGTGATGGAAATTGAAAGCAGATCTGTATTGAAATGAATTTACAACCTTAAATACAGATAGTAAACAGCATGTGTAAAAAATGATGATACTTCAAAATTAAAAGACTAAGGAGAATGCAAAAGGATTGATGTAATGGAAGCTTCTGTACTAGAACTGGATCTCATATCAAGTACTGCACTATTACATGTAAATGAACAGAAATTTTATGATGTGTTTAAAGAAGAATCACGTGAAGATAATGCACGTTTAATTTTGTTTTAATTCAGGAATCATCATTTTTAAACTTTTTGCTATTTTCTTTTGATGGTGTTTCCAAAGGACTTAAAAGGCGTTTTGTGCCTAAATTGTACCTTAGACAACCTCTCTGTAATCAAGAGTTAAAAGAAGTTGTTTCCAGTTGATTTTGGACCTTGTTTGGTGAGCTTTGCCTAACATGTTTGCTTGTTTATTTAGGATGGAATTCCTGTGCCAGGCATAATGGCGGATGCAGCCATCTTTGCCTGGCTAAACCGGGCAAACGAATGGTGTGTTCCTGCCCAACTCACTACACCCTGTCGTCAACAGACGATCAGACTTGCAATGGTTAGTATTCTCCAACGTGAAAACGGTTTGTCACTGACAATTAAAGAGAATCCCTATTTCTAAAGCTCTGAGTTGCCCAAATCTCCAAACCGATATTGTTTTCATTCCCAACTCACGTTCCGTTATAAATAGTACAAGACAAACATTATTGCTCGAGTCATAGAAAGTTTACATTACGCAATAAAAGATCATTACAGCATGTACCTTTAAATAAGTTTGTTACAAAAAGGAGGAAACTTGAATGAAGAATGGAAAGGAGAGGGGCACGTCTAAGTCAACCAATGTTGTGTCCCTAAAATAACGTAATATACCACATAACATCGCGACTTTATCGACCAGTCAGGTCAATATTTAGAGTTAAATATCGCAGAATTCCGATAATAACGGCCCCCGTTATTTTCGGATTTAGCAGGCCAAAGGGGCCGTTACTTTCGGGTAGCCGTTACTTTCGGATGGTTAGAAAACATTTGTAAATCAGCAGTGGTTTTACACCAAGAGGACGCACAACAGACATAAAACAGGTCATTCAGGTTGCAGGCTGGTTACGGTATTCATTATCCATGTAAGCAAAGTAAACTGTAACAAAAAAGGCTCAAATGTTCGTATACTATACGTCGAAAATAATGTTCGTATTATACGACAACTGTGATGACAAATACAGCTCTTATCTATTTTTACGCGTTTTAGTTACTATGTTACCCGTATCCTATGTTTATGAAAATACGGTACACCACTAAAATAGGAAAATATTGTGTGGTATGTTTTGTAAATTAAGTAGGAAAATATTATTCGACCACTACCTACTTGTAATTGCAACCACATACCACACCTCTTGAAATGTTACATGAACGGTACAAAAATTATATATATATTTTTTGAGTGGTCATTTTTTCAGGGGCTGCTATTTTCGGGGAAGCCGTTACTTTCGGGGTTTAATAGCAAGGTAAAAGATTAACGTTACTTTCGGGTAACCGTTATTTTCGGGAGAGAATTCTACGGTACCATCAACTGACTTGATACAACTCACTCATCTGAAACATACATGTAGGTTGTCAAAACGTCTGTCACTGTCAACAACAGTCCTGTTGAGGACTATACAAACCTGGACAATCATGCGCCACTTACTTCCAAAAATGACTCCTGGGTTAAGACCTTTTACATTAATACGGACTTGACTTCTTTACACCTCACTGCGGTATCTGTAAATTTATTTCATCCCAATGTTTCAAACTACGTCATGTAGAAATGTAATGAACGTTACTGTTATCCCTATGATGGCAGGATCAAACTCTTTCAATCCTTCTCGTATTTTTTTTACAGCTCCTCGAGTATTCATGCTCTTCAGCACCACAACTGACATTCGGAGAGTCCTATTCAACTCATCAGACAACCTAGAAGTCGTTTTACCTGTGCGTGGTCTGACGGATGTAGTTTTTCAAGTGAGATATTTAGTGGGCCGGGTATTCTGCAATCGCTATTTCTTTCCACATAAACCAATAAAAAAATTGATTCTTATCATTTTTGACCCTTTTCAGACAAATGTTCTTTACCAATGAAAAACCGGAGAAGAAATCTATCGTGCGTGCAACAATGGCTGGTGCGCACAAGTTGACACTCTTCAACGCGGCATCCCCAGGGGATTTGGCAGTGGACAAGGCGAGAAACAGACTTAAGTGGACAGACACTACTATGAAAAGGATTGAGTATGCCGATCTCACAGGTACAGGTTCGCTCTTAAATGCATTATATGTTTGCCACTCTTATGTACGTTGCATATCTTGTCAAACAAACAAACAAACAAAACAAAAACAAATTAGTCACTTAGATTAGAACCAGTGACAATAAACTAAGTATCCATTGGTTGGCAAGATTGAAACGTTTTAGTACAGAAACGTGTGAACTTTCTTGGTGTGGTCAAAAGCGAAGCAAGAAGAGAGAAAAATGCACGATTATTTTAAATTTTTCAGTAGTGGTTTTCTTCTTTTAAAAAGGCCAATTTTCTGTTGCTAGTGCTCTTTAAAAGAGGTTCTCTCCTTAGTCTCCTTTAACAACGTAGCCCGCGTTCAACTGCGAAAAAAAAAATTAACATGTTGACAAGGTCATTTTTTGGCGACCATTTTCTTAACGTGCTACATGAAAGTAGATCTTGATTAAAATAAGGGCTTAGGGAACTGCACCCTCTTCCTCTTATTTTCAGCCCTCCTCTCTTGATGACGATGAGACTTTACGCGAGTTTAAAGTAAACGCCAACAACAACAGTTACAGTTAAAGAACTATACTAGTACTTGTATTGTGTCTTCAGTAATTAACACATGTAGCTCACAGTCGAATAAATATACCTTACAGGAATGAACCGGGCCACACTGATTGAGACAAACGTGTTACAGCCTGTTGGCTTAGCAGTCTATGGAAGTTATGTGTACTGGATAGATCGTGAGTCCCGCAATGTCATGAAAATCAGGGAGGATGACGTTCGTGGCCGAACAGTGCAAGCAGCTATTGATGATTTATCTGACATTATTGTCGTTGATACACTGAAAACATCAGGTGTGAAAGTTCTTTCATTTTACACTTCTTCTTGATGGCGATTTTTTATAATTCAAGTGGTTATAAATAAGGATTGTATCGTAGTATTTGCTGGTCAGTATGTAGGGTGGCTTTGAGGGCTTATACGGCGTACAGGACAACGACAACGACGGCGTAAAGAAAAACTTAGGTTTGATAAGCCAAACAACCACTTTGCTCGGATCACTCCGTTTGGTGCATTTTTTACAGCCCTCTGTACAACTGGGCCGTCAGATTGCTACATGCAATGCGATGTAGGTATTTTGGGAATTAATCATACGATGCGAAGTATTCCTTTCCCTTTGCGAACTTTTTTGCGGCACCTAACAAACAAACTACAGGAAAATACGCCAACATTTGGCTTGAGTGCGGTGTAAAGGTTGAACGACCGGAAATTCACGTTATTAGTGAGCTTAAAGGGGCTGTGTCATGGCAATCCAGTTCATTTTGTTTAATTTTGCCAATTACTCGCCTTCAATCGCTATGGAACTGAAAGTCAGCAAAGAAATTACATGTAAATGACAAAATCAGAGACCCGAGACAAACATATATGTCTCCTGAGCATTATTCTTGAAGTTGCAAGCGGCAGGGATCATCTTTGAAAAACTGTTAGGCTGAACAGTCAAAAATCCTAATTTCAATCCGTTTCAGTCTTCTTCAATTTTGCCCATCCGTGACATCTGTTGTTTCTGTTATGTTATTTTAACCTTCCTTTAACGTTTTAAGCGGTTATTTTAATGTTTCTCTTAATTTAACGGGCATTTTGTAATTTCCTAATTTGACTGAATTTCGTGACACAGCTCCTTTAAGCAAAGACGCTTTTGAGCGACGCACGTTAACCGGAAGCTAGCGGTCCTTTTTCATCTTTGGTCGGTGATCTGCCCAAATTTTTGGACAAATTGTCTCTATAATAGTAAAGACACTTAGAAATAAAAGTTTGGTGGCGTCAAGGTGCATTAAAATGAAAAAAGACCTCAGTTGCGGTAGTCTGCTTAAGAGCCGTTTTTAGTGTCGTCACGCACGTGACGACACTAAAAACGGCTGTGTAGCAGACTACACTTGCGGTTGACGTGCGTCGCTCAAAAACGTCTTTGCTGAAGCTCCCTATCAATGCCGTTTTCACTTCCGTCGCCGTCGTCCTTTTGAAGCTATCACGACAATACATTTGCTTTATTAATTCGCTTACGTTACAATAAACCGCTTGAGGGAATACTTTAAAACCAGTTTGGTTGCTCTAACAGGCCCAAAGGAAAACATTAATATGTCACGTCATCGCTTTTGCAGTACTGCATAATCCAAGAATTCCCCTTGTGGGGTTACGTGGGGGAAGTTTCCTTGTTACAGTCAACGCCCGATAACTCGAAACTTCAAGGGAAATCGAAAGGGGTTCGAGTTAGCGGGAGTTCGAAGCAAATAACCGGAAATAAGAAAATGGGGAATGAATGCAAGTAACATACACAGTTCAAAACTTGATTGATACACAATGCTGGACACTGCATTTAAACTGGACTGACTAAATAGTAAAGACAAAGACCATATGGTTGTTAAAATAATTTCAACATTTCGGACTGCAGTACACTTGTGTTTTCGACTTGTCAGGCGTTAAAACATGGTTAAGTTATCGAGGGTAAATATCGAGGGTAAAAGGTGGGATTTGACTTGGCATATTTATTACTATCTAGTTTCGTACCACACGGCATGTGCGGGAACCCTCAGATAAAATTGCCAACAAAAAGTTTGTTACAACATACGCTACAATTACAAACGCGCGCGCAGAATTTGAATCAATTAAGAAATGGTAAACGTGCAGCGTGCAACCATGGAGTTATGGATGCACGCGGGAGGTTGCTAAGCACGAAAGAAGCGTAAGAGTCGCACGAGGCGATAGCCGAGTGCGACTCTAGCTTCTTGAGTGCTTAGCAAACCTCCCAAGTGCATCCATAACTCCATGGTTGCACAGCTGCAACGTTTACCATTTCTTTTATAACATAATCAAAAGAGAAAAACATTATTTTCCATTTGCCTTCGGTTGAGTCATCGGTCCGAGTTCATGTATGGTGACATCTGCCCGCGCGTAAACAAATCATGTTCTATGTTTTTCAAAAACTTGCCTTTGAGTTTTTCTTTCGCTGAATCAACCGTTCTCCGTCCTCAGGTAAATTGCAAAACGTTTTTCGTTGTTATTCTGAATGGCATCTGTCTACTTGCTCTTAATATTAGGGTAAAAACTTTGAGGGAAAACTATAGCTGCAACTATAAACACCAACTAAAAGGACTCTAAAAAATAAGCTAAAACTAAATAAATGAAATAATTATCAAGCTTATTTATGTGACAATTTTTGAAATAAACGCAAAGTAGAAATGAGAAAATTTGACTGTAATTCCTTTAGAATAACAGGTAACACTAATTTTAAAAAGAGAAATTAACTAGCTTTGTATCGAAATCTGTCTGGGGAAATCCGCTATGAAAGTGAAAGTTGAAACTGAAATTCGCCGACACACAGCCGGCGCTGAAGCTGTTGTTTTTCGACCGTTCTCCGAACGACTGTTATGAATGAACACTGAGGAACAAAATAATACACACAGAAGTTATTTTTTGAAAAATTTATTTGAAAACCCAAATGTTTCTGTACTCAAATGAAATTCGCTTATTCCAGCGTTATGTGCCCGTTTAAACTCAACTAAAATTTTTAATCGATGCGATGAAAACTTCACAACAAAGCTGTCTCGAATTTGAGCGTGTTTCCTAAAATATTTGCTTGAATTTAGCATCAGCTTGACCAAAAAGTCAATAACACAATGCTAATTGATAAATTTACATTTCAAACAGACTTTCTCTTCTATAAAAAACATACAAAATGTACCTTAAATCTTCGCTCGCTCGATTTTCCTTCAGCCGATTCTAGCCGCGAGGAAAGCAGTGATTAATTCATCCGGCGCAAATTTGTCGCTTGATCTTTTGTCTTTGTTCCTTCAAAACGACAGCTTAGTATTTTCTTCAACTTCTACTTTTCATCTGTGCATTTCATCTCTGTATTTTACCGTCAGGAGAGGAGATTTGTTGAATTTGCCTAAATTTTACCGCGCTAGCTTAGTTTCTTGGCGTGCACCCTCGGGCAAATGGTAGTGGCTAACTGACCAATCAGAGCGCGCGGTTTGCTTTTATTATGTTATAAAAAACTATTGCGTGACAAAGGAAGATGTATAGCTGCTAAGAAGGAATTTGCGCGCGTGCCTGTAGGAAGTTACAAGTTTGTTTCGCTTGTTTAAGCTTGCCAGATCGGGTCTGCAAATGATAAAATATTTTCCCCACATGCACAAATTACAGCGATTTGAAGCGGGATTCAAAGATTTGAAGCGAGGGTAAATCCATAGAGAAATTATCTGAAGGGAAACAAAAATTGCTTCGAATTAGCGGGAAATTCGAGTTTCCGAGGGTAAAATTGTAGTAAATGTATGAAGGAAATCCAGGGGAAGTCGATTTTGGTTCGAGTTTGCGCAAGGTTCAAATTAGCTAGGGCTCGAGTTATAGGGAGTCGACTGCAGTTTCAGTCAATCATAATGAGCCTAGCTACCTTACTGGTACTTACGCGGGTGGACAGTATTTGGCAGGGGTTTATTTGCGCGATTTCAAGAGGCAAATCTGATATGATAAAAATGGCGAAATTTCGCGATTTAAGCGTCCTGAAATTTATTTAATTTTTTAAAAAGTTTAGGGACTGGTCAAAAAGTATGGGGGGGGGGGGGGGGGCCG